AAATAGAAAAAAACAAGTGCCCAAGGATGTAGGAAAAGGAGGTATACATTTGAGCTCATGTTTAATAAGAAACTTCCATACATTATGGCTGATCCAGGGAGGACTACATTTCTTCCTGCCTATAGGAAAGCCACTGGCTTCCCAATAGCATATTATGAGGATTGGAAGCCATCTATTCAGTATCAAAGGTCACAAGCTTATTATTCATTCATTCTTGTTCCATCCTTTTGTGGACTTCATGAGCACTGGACATTGCCACCATACCTGGACTCATAGTTGCTTTAGGCTTATTCAAAAATATTTAAGTCAGCTTGCTGAGTCCATATTAACTACTACCTTTACAATATTTCCAAAGATTTCTAGGACTTCAGATTTTTGGGAACTGAGTCCTTTCTGGTCATTTGCTTCTCCCTGTTTTAACTAAATTACTGGTGTTATTTTTCATTTGTCACGAGCTGGGGCATCCACCTCTACTCTTCTCACTGAAGTTGCTAGTCTCGGTGTCAGGGTTCTATCTTTTGTGGGTCACCAGCCTGCAGAGACAGCCTCAACTCATGGCTGCTGAAGTGCTATCTTCTTGTCCCCTGTGATATTTGCTGTGTGAATGCACAAAGGCACGACCTCAAAGGCTAAAGACAATCTGACTGTAAATAAATTTGTATTTAGCATTACAAACATAAAAAAACATGTTTTCAAGCATCTTAAACACTTGATTTTACTGGAAGTTGCAAAGAACTAGAGGGGCGGAGGAAAGGGTATATTGCGGACGGAGAAGAAAGAGAGGAGAGAGAGAAAGGGAGGCAGGAACGGGCGAAACAAAACCCGGCAAGACGGCGAGAGGCAGTGATAGAAAGCGAAAAGGGAAGCGGAGTCAGCGGCGACCGAAGAGGCGCAGGAAAGGAGTTAGCCTGCAGGGGCTGCGGCAAATCATCTGGGCAACACGATTAGCACATGGAGAGCATCACTGTTTACCCATTGATTGACATGGTTCCCTGCCTGCTACTAGCATCATGAAGGATATTATACCACATCTATTGCTAGCCTGGGGAAACAAAATCACAATAAAATCTGAAGTAGTAGTCTTTTTTTTATATTATTATTTTAGCATGCTAGTGGGTCCAAGTGTAAGGTTACATATATTGCCCATGACCTCCTCCCTCAAGTCAGAAGCCTCAAAGCAGTGACATCCCTAGACGTTGCACATTGCCACTCATTGTGTTCTGTTATACCCATCCCTCCTCCCCCCTTCACCTGCCCGACACCGAAAATGTTATTCCTATATGTCCACTGAGGTGTTGATCCATTAATACCCAATGCTGGTGAGTCACGTGGTGCGTCCTGGTATACATTCTGATATGCATCATTTGGCCTTCACACCGCATGAAGTCAAAACGTATCAAACATGGTAAGCGATATGCATGTCATACTCCCTGCCATTGTAGGAGAAGCTGGTAGAGATCACTGTAAATTTTAGAACTAATTTGAACTGATTAAACTGCTTAAATCGGAAGAGTGCACAAAGTGTTTGGAAATGGTACGATATACATACTTTGACCTTTAATGGATTAGACCAATATGCACGTTCCTAAGTGTTCTTCTTTGATTTGATGCGGGTCTCTGCTCCCAAACTGTCTACAGTGAGATCTGTTAAATCTATAGATAAGTTAACATAAAGTAGAATTAAAAAAAAATAATCATATACGAAAGATAAAGTTGAATGGCATGGTATGTGCATAACTGGGCGAACTTTGTAGGGGCAACTATGGATTTCCCTGGCGAGACAACGTGATCCTGAGAGTGGTGAGTCAAGAGAAAGTATAAAATGCCTCTGCTCTGCTTTCAAGGTTACATAGTCCACTTGAAATGTCAGCTTGAATATAAACATGACTTTATGTATCTTGTGTGTGATGAGCAACAGGATTTTATGTGATGACAACTCTTCAAAAAATCTTCATAGCCTATACTCTGGCCTCTGTAGGAATAGTAATGCTCGACTCCGGTCTGCCTCTGCAGGGCTTTGCCACAGAATTGATCTGAGCACTGTTAGGAGTCAAGGCGACACTCTGCTTCCTGCTCAATCAGTTCCCCAGTACCATCATTAAAAGGCGGGTATACCTTCTGTGTGACTGTCCTCTTTGTATAATAAGAATACACAGAACTCTCAAACTTCTTGAACAGTGTGCGTTGCTGTCCCTCATGACCATTGGAGCTGTCTGGAAGTGAGGCACACATTCCTTCCCCACATGTCCGGGGACTGTGGCCGGGACAAGTCGTGTTGCTAAAGCAGGACACAGCAGCAGCAAACAGCCCAGCGGGACAGAAAAATGTCCTCTGTGGTCCGCAGTTTGAGGAGCCCCGTACAGAGCATGAAACAGGGAGTTGCAATTCCTGTGAAGTTTCTAACCAACTTGGTCCACAAGTTTTTTGTTGTTTGCTGTCTATATGACTATACTTTCTTCTTCTTGATGTTTGGAATAGGAACCAATATTATGCCTTGTCATGTGTGTGTATCTCAAACACGCTGAATAATAGTGACCAACATAAAGTAAGATCTTATTTGCTTTCTATGATTCTGATCTAATACATTGTTGTATTTTAATGACTTAAAATGGCACTAATTGAATGAATTCCTTTATTATTTGTATTTTTTTACTGTTTATTTTTTTATCTCAGAAACAGTATTCTTATTTCAGTCATATTGTATGGGTCAACAGCAATAGTTTTAGGTTACAAATTTGTCCTGCCCCTCCCTCCCCCGACATGTCCAATCCCCTGGGTTGGAATTCCATTTTAATACATAAATATCTGATGGAATCCACGTTTTGCATCTCCTCGATGACCCACGCTCTAGGGCCTCACATGTTTAGTGAAGCTCGTCCGTTCGGTCATTACTCCATGAAGATGGCATTGACATGGGATTTCATAGTAAATAAATGCCCTTTCCCCATGGTACTCTTAAACTGGGATAACTTATGTTATTAGGCAGAAGTGAGTTAAGCATTCTAGTTAAGGTAATAGTGATCAGCTAGATAGCCTTGGTTACAACTATGCTCTGACGCCTATAGGTTGTACTCCTGGATAAGTTACCAAATTCTCCTAAACTTGTTCCCTCATCATAAAATGATTAATTCTACCATTTCCTCATAAGATTTGTATGATCAAACACACATTAATTGTATTTAAGCATTTAGTGTATCTTACATAACACATTATTCAAAATTGTGTATCGTCTCAAAATACCGAGATAACGGGGCACATTAGCATGAGTAAATACTTGGAGACACTATTGTTAAAGCGCTTATATTACATAGACTATAATTTCACATCAGCATAACGAACTAAATTTAGAAGCGGTGACATGCTTTTTGGTTGTTGCTTGTAATCCCTGAAATTTTGAAATTATTACCTCTTCATGACTTTAGAAGAAGTAATATCGTGTTGTATCATTTTAGAATATCAATAATGGGTCCAATAGATCATTCATCCATAAACAGATAAGGGTAATCGATCCCTTAGCTTCATGCCACTCCTATAATCCATCCTTAAACGTTAGTTGCGGAAGTCCCGAGTTTACCCTGATTAGCTGCAAGGCAGATGCCCTGAGATTGTTATAAAATAAAAGAGTAACGGGGGGCGGCAAGATGGGCGACAACAACACCGCTAAGACAGAGGGTCTCTGCAGAAAAGACCCCGATTTCTCGCAGAAATAGAGGAAAGAAGCAAGACGACGAGCATAGCAGCGGACAAGGGCCGGAAGGAGGGGTACCTGAGATCCCGGGAGACTCCACGGAGGAGGCTGCGGAGGAGAGGAGACTGGAGGCTGAGACCACCGGGAGCGCCAGGAGACCAGCGGCAAGGGTATGGATCTGCTGTTTCCCCTTCCCCTGCATTCGGACTGCTGGTGGGCTCCCCAGCGTGAGAGACCTGCGGACAATCAGCCCAGAGACTGCGCCGCTGCCAACGGTGAAGGCCTGTAGCAGACGTAGGCACAGGTTGCCCAATTCTTCGGCACTCGTGGTGCACGGACCCGACTGCGCGGCAGCGCCATATGCCTCCTCCTTCCGCCTAGACCAAATGTCCACTGTCCTAAGGTTTCTGTCTCTTAGGATTTGATGCGGTGTCTCTGCTCCCACAACTGTCATAAGTGAGCATCTGTTAAAAATATCTATAATTATATTATTAATACATTAAAGTTAGGGAATTAAAAAGAAAAAATAATTCATAAAAGGAAAATTGAATGGCAGGTATGAGGAAGAAAACTGGGCTGAGAACTGTTGCTTCATTAGGCAACATGGAGTTCCCTGGCGAGACAAAGTGATTATAGAGTGGGTGAGGTCAAGAAGAAAGACTAAAATTATGCTTCTCTGCCTCTTGGCTTTCAGCTACACTAGTCCCACTTGAAATGTCAGCCTTGAAAAAAATATGACTCTATAGTATCTGTGTTTGTGATGAAGCAACAGGATTTTATGTGATGACGCTTACCTTTCTTCTATAAAAATCCATAAAGCCAACTCTGGGCCTTCTGCTTAGGAATTAGTAAATTGCCTCACTCCCAGGCTCTTGCCTCTGCAGGGCTTTGCCACAGAATTGATCTGAGCACTGTCTAAGGCAGGAGCAAGCCGACACCTGCTCCTGCCTCAAATCAGTTCCCCAGGGGAACAATCCATTAAAAGTCTATACCTTCCTGCTGTGACTGTTTTTTTCCTCTCCTTTTTGTTATGAAGAATTACACAGGAATCTTCAAACTTCTTGAACAGTGGGCCAGTTCGCTGTCCCTCAGACCGTTGGAGGGCTGTTGGAGAGTGAGGCACACATTCCTTCCACACATGCTCACTGTGGCCCCGGGACAAGTCGGTTGCTAAGCAGGACAGGCAGCAGCAGCAAAAACACCCAGCGGGACGGATAAATGTCCTCTGTGGTCCGCAGTTTGAGGACCCCTGATACAAGCAGAAAAGGAGTCTGCAATTACCTGTGAAAGATTCTAACCAAACTGTGTCCACAAGTTTTTTTTTTTGTTTGTTTGCTTGCTCATTAGACTATATCTCTTTCTTCTTGATGTTTGTGGAATAGGAACCAACTAAGAATGCCTTGCATTTCCTTCTTATTCCAACACTGCACAGAAAGAAGGACAAACAAAAGTAAGCTCTTATTTGCTATTGTCCTATATTCTGATCTAATACAAATATGTTTATTTCTTAATGACTTATAAATGCACTAATTGAATGAATTCCACTTTTATTTTATTTTATTTTTTTATTTTATTTTTTTATTAGAACATGATTTTTATTTCATCATATTATGGAGGTACAAATATTGTTAGGGTTACAAATATTGCTCCTGCCCCCTCCCTCCCCCCGAAATGTCCAATCCCCTGGTTGAATTCCACTTTTAAATACATAAGAATATCTGATGGAAATTCCACGTTTATGCAATTCTACCTCTATGCACACCACGGCTCTAGGTGGCGCCATTCACATTGTTTGCTATGTGAAGGCCGTTCGGGCATTACTCCAGAAGATGGCATTGACATGGGATTTCATATAAATAAATGCCCTTTCCCCATGGTACTCTAAACTGTGGGAACTTATGTTATAAGCAGAAGTAGTACAGCACTAGTTAAGGCAATAGTGACAGGTAGATAGCCTTGGTTAGCAAACTAACTGCCTGACGCCTATAGGTTGTACTACCTGGGATAAGTTACCCAACTTCTCTAAACTTGTCTTCCCTCATCATAAAATGGATTAATATTACCATTTTCCTCATAAGATTTTTGTGATGATCAAACAACATAATGTATTTAAGCATTTAGTGTATTGATTTACATAAACACATTATCATTAAAATGTATTTATCTCATAAAATTATTCATGAAAACGGTGCATCATTAGCTCATTGAGTTAAATATTATGGAGACACTATTGTTAAAGTCATTATATTACATAGACATATAAATTTCCACATCAGCCATAAAAACTAAATTTTGAGAATGGGTACATGCTTTTTTTTGTGGTTGTTGCTTTTAATCCCTGAAAATATTTTGAAATTATTACCTATTTCATGACTTTAGAAGAATAAGTCATTGTTTATCATTTTTAAAATATCAATAATGGGTCCAATAGCACCTTCATTCCATCCATAAAAGATAACTAATCATCCCTTAGCTTCATTCCACTCCTAATAATCCCATCCCTTAAGCTTAGTTGCGAATCTCAGTTTTAACCTAATTAGCTGGCAAGGCAGATGCCCTGAGATTGTTATAAAATAAAAGAGTATGCAATGGTCTCATATCTCATATTATGAAAGCAATGGAGTTTGTTGGTAAAGAGCAGGTTTCTATTATCAGTCTGAAAGGATTTGAATTTTGGTTCTCCCATTACAAGTTATATACATTTAGGCAAATCATTTAACCCCAAAGTGGTTCAGTTTTTTTATCTATAAAATGTTGAAAATTGTATATATTATATTTTTGTGAACCTTAAAAGTAGTAATGCATGTAAGTCATTTATAATTGCTTATGTGATATAATGCATTTCTATATAACAGGGCAAAATTTCTCCCAGTAGAATACAGTGGTTTTCTCATCTAAACCACTAATCTCTATTTTATTAAGATGTAGTACAAGTTCATAACAATTAGTCAAGGTACTGCTCATTAATATAAATAACTACAAAAATAAATAGGTAAAGCCTTGAATATAATCATCTACATCAATCCAGTCTGAAATTTCAATCTATATTATCTATAATAGCCTTTGATAATAACCAATTAACAATAATATAATTGACACTGGGAACACATTTGATGTGGAGGTTAGGATGGGGTAAGGATCAATAATTGAGTTGGGAAAAGGAATCAAAGATAGGGTGAGGGTCAGGAAAGAGGTTTGTCTTGTCAAATGCCTTATAATAAATATGCTGAGGGTGCAATTTTTTAAAATCCAAGGGCCCATTGTTTAAAATTGCTATACCTAAATAAGCACTTGTAGTAGCTAGTACGTGGAATAGTGACTATATTGATCAGGCAAAACCGTGTTCTTGGAGCAGTTCAAAAACCATCACTGTAGAAAAAAATCAATCTAAGAGCTTTTAGAGTCAATTAACTTGAAGTCTGACCTGAGTCACTGGGCTTGGCTCCAGGTTCAAGGTTGGGTCTGCATTTCTCCAGGTTATATCCTCTTTGGATCATTGAGCCACTTTTCATAGCAATTGTAGAAGAACAAGAGGAGTGAACAGAAACATGCAATGCTACTGAAGGTATAGGATAGGCTCTAAACTAGCTCATTGTCACATTCACCCAAATTCCATTGGCCAAAGAGCTCAAAATCAATGAGGCAGGGAAATATACCCTCTCTCCAGTGACAGGAATTGCCAGATCACATGACAACGTGTGAGTATATATTAAGGAATGAAGAATTGGAACAAAAACTGAATCTACCACACATACTGTGAGTTGAAAGTTATCACTTCCACCCAACTTTTGGTGTTCTCATTTGTGAAGCAAAACTGAACAAACACACTGGCAGCCATCAAATGCTAGAAGATAGTTGTTAAAATTACCTTAAGTGTTTTTTACATTGGTTGTCGCAGGCTCTTATGTAAGTTTGCTTTCTTTCTTTGAGTGTTCCCTGATGTAATGATTAGATTCCTTATCACCTCAAGCACCCTTCTCTGGATTTGTGAATATAGTCTGGGTTGCCAGGTTTGCTCTCAATACATTTCTCCAGCTACTGAATGGAAACTTTCAATTAACGTGGATGCCCTAGAGCTCTAGTTAGTTCCCTTCTTTTAGCTAAGGATACCCCTAGCCATTTAAAAGCCATAATATTATTTGTTCAGATGGATCATATTTTAATTAAAAATTCCAAATTTTTTTGGTGAGATATGTTGTCAAAGCAAGTTTCTTTTAAGCATTATTTGGCAGGCTGATCTTGTTTTTGTATCTATTGAAATTCATATTATGATTCTTGTAATCATACCTTGAAAACAAGAGACAGGAGTATAGAATGGTGTGAATAACAAGGAAAGCATTCTTTTGTATTTTCTTCCAAAGGCATTTGTTTTCCATCATTGTAAGATGATGAAATATCTTAACCTATTCATGCTCCATTTCTGCCGTCTATGACTTAAAATTTGAATCATTTCACTCTAATAAAATCTTCTGAACTTTTTGCTTTTGATATGTTAGGATAGTTACATTTATTATTTAAACTCCAGTTATCTTTCATCTTGACACAAATTACATTTTAAAAAGTGTCATATAATTCATATGGCATTAGATTTTATTTAATTAGGGTATAAAGGCACAAATTCATGATCAATCCATGATTATTTATTGAAAACTACTATTTGTGCAGAATTGTGCTACATGGTCTACTGTTAACATACTTTGAGAACACATAGAAACATTAATAAAGATATGAAAATTATTTGATTAAATATAGTGATAAATGAAACAGTGATCAGAGCTAGGTAAATTCTAAAGTTTAATTTAAAAAGCTACAATTCAAGATATGATATAATAATTTCTACCGTATAGAAAAACTATGTTTGAGAAATATCAGCTGGTGTATTTGTCTGTCCTCTTTAACTCAAAATGGTTATTTATGTTCTTTATTACTTTGTAAACATTTATTTAACCCATCTACTTAGTATTATGCAAAATACCAATAAAAGAGCTGACTATAGACTTACGAGGTGACAATCTTTATATAAAACTATATATGAATTTAGGAGCACCTCCCTCACTTTGATGCCTCCAGGGGAAGTGCTTAAAATATTGTAAAAATATGAAAATATTATAAAATATATAGAGATATGTGAATAGTTACTAATCTCTCTTTCTCTGTATAGACATACACACAGTATGATTTTGCATGTGTTTAAACTTTATATAAATGTATTACAATATGCATTTCATGAATTAGAGTCTGCATTTATGTATATAATAAAATATGTAGTTTCTATAATATATTATTCTACATATTTTTAAATTCTATATAAATGGCATAAAGCTCTGTAAAACTTTTTAACTTGATTTCTATTTCACTCAATATTATATTTGCAAGTCATCTATATTGATGTATATACTTAATTCCCTTATTTCACATCTGTTTTTTGTTCTATTATATTAGTATATTACAATTTAGCCTTTCTTCTGTTCACTGAAAAACAAATTGCTTCCAATTTTTGGCTGTTACAATGGCTCCTTGGATAGTTTGATATATGATGTCTATGTGTGTATATATATATATATATATATGAGTTTCTTCAGGGTATATAAGTAAAAGTGGAATTCCTGGGTCATATATAGGATATATTTAACAACTTTTAATTCATAAACCTCTTAAAGCAGAAGTACATCAAGATGGCAGCTAATATTTGAATAGTAATGTAACTGATTTTATCATATCTTTTTTTGAGTCTAGGGTTTGGTTGAGTGGAGACCTGGTTATCTCAGGGACATGGAAGGAAGAAACATAAAATGAAGAAAAGGAAACAGGATGGACTGGGGTCTTTTAAGCTAATGTTACAGATTTTATAATTTGTTATGCTCTGGATTCATTTCTGCCTGAGCTTATAGCTACAATTATTTTCTTATTTTTTGTATGTGAATATATCAAGATATGAATGAATTTATCAATGAATGTTTATCATAATAGTTGTTTCCTGCAATTATTCCTTTGTAGTTCTAGAAACCAGTTTCATTTATCTGACATTAGTGAACGAACAGATGCTTCTTACTGCATTAGAAATTGCTGTCATTAGCTCACCCTTATCACAAGGGTCACACTAATACCCACTCAGGGCTATAAGACAATGCTTTATGGAATTATAGACCATTAAAATTAGAAAAACTTTATGAGTAATATACATCAATTCCTTATGTTACAAATGAGAAATATTAGTGCCCAAAGATGCTGAAATAATTAGCTCAGTGTTCCATCACTGGTTAGCCTCAGAGGAAGGATTGGGGTTAGAATGCAGAGGACTGTAAATCAGGTGCCATGGTCCTTACCCTACTCTGGTGTATTAAAACCTTCACTATCTGCACGATGGTGTCAATTGTCACTGCATGCCAATTTTTCTTGTTCATATTTTTTATCTCTCCTCAGA